GGGAAGCTGGGAGGCTGAAACTTTCAGGAAATGTTTCCAACTCATCTACAACTTAAATTTATCAAACTCAGCCCCCAATATGCGTGGTTGCCACGTAGGCCCCGTGAAGTATCTGGCTGAAATTTGGGTAGCTCGGGAACTGAGAAAGCTGGGAACCTGAGGTTTCAAGGGAATGTTCCCTGTCCAAGTATAGCGTGGATAATTAGCTTCCCGAAATTCGAGGGCCAGTATGTACAAAAGGTTTCTAGCTAGCGGAATTTCGAGTGATCTTATTGTACCACGAAACACTGCAAAAACGCACGATCGCACGGGCCCGCCCAGTGCGCGTCGCCAATGATTTATGTTTTGATGCGCTCCTCTTTGATGCATTTCTAAAACGAATAATTCCGGATACTTGCCGACCACCACTGAAACATTGCGCTCTGTTTATGCAGGAGATTCGAAGCCCGTTCGCAATATCATTTACTATTTGCTAAGAAACCTATCACTTTCCAGCAGCTTTAAATGTGACTCTAATGAATAACTTGCAAAAGATGGTGTTAGACGGATTAACTGATCGGTCGTCATGTGAGGAATGGCCTGTACCAGAAGATGCTATTTGCACCACCGAAACAAGAATCCGGTCCATTTGCTCCGTTGGTTTTCGAATTTTCACTGATAATAAGTTTTTATTTTTGATGCACTTGTATTATGTGAAAACTGATCTCATCCACTGATCTCAATTTTTAGCTAAAGCAGTGCCTTATTTCCTCGATATTCTTAAGGGCCGAAAGTTTCAGGGCGATAGTGGCGGTGGTCTAATGGCACAAACAGACGATGGTCGTTGGGTGCTGCTTGGTATTAATTCATTTTCTGGCTCATGTAGGGAGCTGTTCAGAAAAACGAATATCCCGGCCATACAAGGCCATACGAATGTTGCACTTTATGCAGCCGATATTGCTCGCTTTACCGGCTTCTTTTTACCATTGGTGCATGTTTGACTCTGGCAAGAGGTGCTTGATATCTAATCTCCTAATAAATTTACGAATTCATTTCTAGATGCTCTCATTTTTGCATAAATTTTTCAAGAATCATTGGTGACGCGCACCGGGCG